TAAAAATATTCAGGATCAAATTCGAGCATTCTAGAACATCGTTTCGTTTACTAGAACTAGATGTCTCACTACTTCCAATGTGTATTGAATTAATTATTAATTTCACTCTTCTCGCGACGATATCACCTTATCGTAAGAAAAATGGGACACTTTGACCCGAGCGTGACAGCGTAGAATAAAACCGTGACTATTAAATGTTTCCACGAGTGTATAAAATTTTCCGTCCATTTACGGCAGCGGCATTTCACCGAATTATTTGCCGCGAATGCAAAATAGAAGAGAATCTAAACAGATTGTTTACAATGCTTAATGTTGATAAGCACTTCGTTTCTAAGTGTTTTGAAGCGCGACTACGGGTCGATCGTCGGCAACCACCGCGCAAATAACATGACCGCGCACCATCGTTCCATAATTAATACCGCACCGAGAATCCGGTAAACAAAAAAATAAAGATAAACGAAGTACCAGATAAGCGGGGTACGTAGAAAAGAGGAAAGACCAATTAAAGTACAGATAAACGCAATCAATAAAGAGCAATAAAAGCAAGTCGGTCGTACGGAGGAAACAAATTGAAACCAATAATAAGGAGCGTTGTCGTTATTATTCAACGGCGCGAGCCGAAGTAAACGACACTTTTTCTTGGGATCGAACCGGACGAACATTCGCGGAACGGTCGGTCCTTCGGGGTGGAGCCGGCAGCGTTCGCCAGGGACACCGGAAGTCACGAACGGGAGAATCGAATTCCAAGACGCTCCGACCGCGAGGGGCATTGAGCCGCGATCGAAAAGTTTCCTCGTTTCCCCGTGCCATCCGTCTCGCGTCAAGTTCGAGCCGCCGCTACCGAGCCGAGGTGAACCAACAAATGGATCAAGGTTGCCGCGGCGTATCCTTGAAGCCGGTACGCGAGGAGAAACGGTAGCGGTGGAAAACGTAACCGCGACCGCGCGGTAGAAAGTTTCGCAGTATAAAAATCGCGGCGCGGCACGTTTTTCGATTCATAGCGCCGCGTACGATCGTCGTTTATCAAGGATCTATCCGATCGACGCGAACGCGCGCTCGTGCTGGCAATAAAGCGCCGAGATTTCCGCGAATTGTGAAGTAGTTCCACGATCGAGTACTCTTTTTCGCTCCCGGCAGCGTCTATGTTTCATTTATTACGGGTCAGAGAAAATATTGGCTCGTTGAAATCGTCACCAAGAGTTGTCGATCAATGGGAAATCTCAGCTAACTTTCGATAACGCAGCGCTTTAATTCCGAAACATTGAAGATTGTTTCAAATTCGACTTCGAAAACGAATCGACCTATTGTATATGTGCAGGCTGTCCCATAATTATGTTACCACCCGGAAAGGGGTGATTCCTCAGGTAATTAGAAGTAACTTTTTCCTTAGCGAAAATGCAATCCGCGACTTTCTTTACGAATTATTAACGAAAAACANCCGCACCGAGAATCCGGTAAACAAAAAAATAAAGATGAACGAAGTACCAGATAAGCGGGGTACGTAGAAAAGAGGAAAGACCAATTAAAGTATAGATAAACGCAATCAATAAAGAGCAATAAAAGCAAGTCGGTCGTACGGAGGAAACAAATTGGAACCAATAATAAGGAGCGTTGTCGTTATTATTCAGCGGCGCGAGCCGAAGTAAACGACACTTTTTCTTGGGATCGAACCGGACGAACATTCGCGGAACGGTCGGTCCTTCGGGGTGGAGCCGGCAGCGTTCGCCAGGGACACCGGAAGTCACGAACGGGAGAATCGAATTCCAAGACGCTCCGACCGCGAGGGGCATTGAGCCGCGATCGAAAAGTTTCCTCGTTTCCCCGTGCCATCCGTCTCGCGTCAAGTTCGAGCCGCCGCTACCGAGCCGAGGCGAACCAACAAATGGATCAAGGTTGCCGCGGCGTATCCTTGAAGCCGGTACGCGAGGAGAAACGGTAGCGGTGGAAAACGTAACCGCGACCGCGCGGTAGAAAGTTTCGCAGTATAAAAATCGCGGCGCGGCACGTTTTTCGATTCATAGCGCCGCGTACGATCGTCGTTTATCAAGGATCTATCCGATCGACGCGAACGCGCGCTCGTGCTGGCAATAAAGCGCCGAGATTTCCGCGAATTGTGAAGTAGTTCCACGATCGAGTACTCTTTTTCGCTCCCGGCAGCGTCTATGTTTCATTTATTACGGGTCAGAGAAAATATTGGCTCGTTGAAATCGTCACCAAGAGTTGTCGATCAATGGGAAATCTCAGCTAACTTTCGATAACGCAGCGCTTTAATTCCGAAACATTGAAGATTGTTTCAAATTCGACTTCGAAAACGAATCGACCTATTGTATATGTGCAGGCTGTCCCATAATTATGTTACCACCCGGAAAGGGGTGATTCCTCAGGTAATTAGAAGTAACTTTTTCCTTAGCGAAAATGCAATCCGCGACTTTCTTTACGAATTATTAACGAAAAACACTGACCAATGAGAGACGAGATCAGTTGGCGGAACTGGGCTTCCTGCGCTCATTCGGCCGCCTCGCGCCAGCCGAGCTCTACTCTCGTTGGCCAGCGTTTTTCGTTTATTTTGTTTGAGTCAACGGTTCTAGGCGGTCGACCGGTCGAATTCCAGATCAGCTAGCGCGAGGCGGCCGAGCCAACGGCGCCAGCGGTCGAGCGGTCGAGTTCCAGCTCAGCTGGCGCTAGGCGGCCGAGCCAACGGCGCCAGCGGTCGAGCGGTCGAGTTCCAGCTCAGCTGGCGCTAGGCGGCCGAGCCAACGGCGCCAGCGGTCGAGCGGTCGAGTTCCAGCTCAGCTGGCGCTAGGCGGCCGAGCCAACGGCGCCAGCGGTCGAGCGGTCGAGTTCCAGCTCAGCTGGCGCTAGGCGGCCGAGCCAACGGCGCCAGCGGTCGAGCGGTCGAGTTCCAGCTCAGCTGGCGCTAGGCGGCCGAGCCAACGGCGCCAGCGGTCGAGCGGTCGAATCTCAGCTCAACTGGCGCGAGGCGGCCGAGCCAACGACGCCAGCGGTCGAATCCAAGTTCCGCTGATTGGCTCGGCCGCCTCGCGTCAGCCAAGCTCGCCTCTCATTGTACACTGTTTTTCCTTAATAACTCGTAAACGAAGCCGCGGATTGCATTTTCGCTGAGGGAAAAGTTACTTCGAATAATCTCAGGAACGTCATAGTTCCGGATTGTGAAATATGGAAAGAGGAGCTACGATTATTCGAAACTCGTGGCTCGTTTTTAACTATAAAAACGAGCCGCAAGGAAAAAGTTTCTTCAAATAATTTCAGGAATCACTTCTTTCAGGATAGTAACAAAATTATGGAATAGCCTCTATGGTTACCTTTTCAATCAATTTAAGATTTTCAATCAATCAATACGTGTCCTGTTTACAATAGGAAGCGTTTGTCTAACTTTTCTATTGTGTCGTTCGGAAAGTTGTTTCGTTTTTCATAAAAATCTCATTTTGTAAGAGTGTTAAACAAACACTTGATTCAGTATTTTTCCAAATGTAAAACCATAAGATTTCAAAGCTACCAGAAAAATGTCGAAAAGTTTGCTTTTACTCGTAACATTAAAAAAAATCGGCTTTCATTTTTTCGCGAAAGAACGACCCAATATTATGTTCGTTTATGTTTTACTTAATGACTGTATCATGTACAAACACAAGACTATCCGAGTCATTGTGTCACAAGTCAGTGTTGACACAGTGGGACTCGGGAGAGTCCCAGAAGCCTTGCTGGAGCATGTAAGTCACCTTTTCAACCTGAGGGGGTGTGCTGGCTCCCCGAGCGCTCGTGGGGAACGGGCTGTCCCGTTCGGAGTCCAGGTCCTTGTGGCCGTTCAGACCGCTGAAGCTGCCGATGGAAATGCTTTCGCTCTCCGGCGACTTGTACCCGGAGTGCTGGGAGTGCTGCGACTTGTGCTGAGCCGCGAGCTCCGGCGGGGCTGACTGGGGTGCCGAGGGCAGGGAAGACGGTGCCCATGACTTCGCCTCGCTATGCGGACGCGTCAGGGGTTCTGCCGAACAAAGAGACGAAACGCTTCATTCCAGCAAGCGAAACAAGAGAACGAACCCTTCAGAAAAGTCTTTGTTCGTGATACCACGGCCTATGAAAAAGTAAACTGAACCAGATAGGCTCGTGGCTACTCGAGAGACCCTGTAAGTGCCCCTACGGGGATCCTTTGTTCTGGAAAAAGGTAACGAAACCAAAGTTATCGTCCTAAATGCGTGCTTTTCAATCAATTTCATCGACACGTTGAATTTTCTTTTTTTTTTTTTAAATGAAAAGATACCGTTCAATTGTAATTAGTGTTACCATTAACTCGATTTTTTTGAAAAAGTGACTTATGCCATTTTCAAAATAAACGGCTCATATAACCCTTGGGAAAAAGTATTCGTTCATCCTTTAAAACGCGGTAACCTTTTTTTAAATTGGTCTAATCGACTTGAATATTTTTATTTATTTTTTAGCGTTAATGGGACTTAGTTTACGGGACAATGATCAGCATACATTTTTTTTTAAATTTTGCTATTACATACAATGATAACGAAAGATAAAAAGACACTCGTTTTTTATCTTTTTTATTTGAACCTTGGGCGAAAATTTAAAAAATGCGTTTGGTACATCTCGGTAATTTACAATTGAAAATTTCATTGGAATCGGATAACGCACAGTCAAGCTACAGCTACTCAAAGATGGAAAAAAAATTACCTGTTTTTAATTTAAATTCGTAAAAAAATTTCGATGTTCACAATCTTCAATTGCTTATAGCTTGTAACAACGTCAAGGTTATTTCGATGAAATTTTCAGTGTGCATATAATTTACCAAAATCTACGTTTTTTTAAATTTACGCATTTTTTAAATTTTCGTTACAGGTTCAAATAAAAAAAATAAAAAACAAGTGTTATTCTGAATAACCGGAATCTACAGTACTTCAAATTTGAAATGACGTTGAAGTCAAACGCTTAACCCTTTGACATACAAATAAAACGGAATTTGATGCGCCCGAAAAATACTATTTAATTTGCCTCGACTGAACAGTTACGTGTAAGCTGAGAAAGAGAATGTTTTATTTTGAAATTTGGATTACCGATTTGCGGATGCAACTTTGTTATTGGTACTGTCGAGGAGGTGGGAGGGTGGGGCGTCGCGAACATTGTAAACAAACTAGAATCGACGCACGAGTGAAGCAACTGAATAATATACTGCACGGCGTCCACCGAAAACAGCTGTTGACGAATTAGAGTCGTGGAAGTCTATAGTGACGCATGAAACGAATGACGACCCCAACTCGTCATTGTAAGTCAAGGGATTAACCCTTTGCACTCGAGTGGCGACTCTGAGGCACCATTAAAAATACTTGTTCGCATTTCGAAATAATTCGCAGATTATCAGACTCGTTTATATTCTAAAAACTGTTGCCAATCCGAATGCTGTACGGACCACAAGACTCAGTTTCATGTGCATAAATTATAGTAAATTGTATAACATGGAAATATTGCAGATTAAGAAAACAATTTCGGATGTAGACTTAAAATAGCTTCGAGTACGAAGGGTTAATACTTGAAGAATCTACAAACTCTGAAGTCGAAGACAATGGATCTTTATGCAAATTAGAACTGTGCAATTTATGATCGTGATTCTGAATCATAGTAATTTGACTGGCGCTTTCCGAGGCAACTGCTGGTGTCACACACTCTTGTACTACTAATGAACTTCGGCCTCCGCCGAAAACAGCTGTTGACGAATTAGACTCGTCAAAGTCTACAGTGGTACATGAATGACGACACCAACTTGTCATTGTGTGTCAAGGGGTTAACCTCTTGGCATACCATTTTCATCGCAGTTACTGCGATTGGAAACTTTTCGATTGCAATAATTTCTTAGAAGGGAAAGAGAATCGATGCTCATCGTGTGCCTAAATTTACGTGAATGCTTAAATAGTGACGATAAGAGATTAGAATTTGATTCCAATTATTTATTCCAAAATTATATTCCAATTTGAATGGACGGAATAATAAAATCTATACTCATTAAGTTATTACTGGAAATTTTCACGACGAGAGCTGGACTCGTCAAAGTACGGCAAGAGGTTAAGCGTCTCTGCGAAGAATGGAAATTCGTGAAACTGTAAAAATCAGATCGATCTACAAAATGTTCAAGGTTCGTTAAAAATTCGAAACGATCCAAACAGGGGGATGAGGATAAATCGGTACCTTCTCTGACGTTTTGCGTGACAGTGAACGTTTTCCCGGTGTCCAGCGGCACCGTCCAATTTACGGGCTCGGGGGACCGCATGATCATTTGCTCGGGCGACTTTACCCTGGTCGGCTCCGGGGGGCTTTTCACCACCGGCTCGTCGTCGATCCATGGGCTTGCTGCGGTCGCGGACAACGGCTGCGTCTGCGACGGCGGTGTCGACGCGACGCTCGAGTCTCCGGCGGTCGCATCCCCGTTCACCTGTGGCTCCGCGGTCACTGGAACGTTTAATCGGGGCTTTTAGCGACGAGGTATACACCGTTCTAGTTGGACGCCCACCCCCCAGGGAAGCATGCACTCGATGCATCGAGTCCTCTCGCTGTTATTTCCCCTATGAGCCGACTTTAACCGGCGAGCGTTACGCACCGTCTACCAACCCCTTCCGATCAGTTTACGAGCACGTTCTGTTCTTCTGCACGAGCATCGAGAACGACGATGCCAATGATACCGGTTGAAACTTCGGTCAAGGTCACATCTGACGGATATCGACGGTGCAGGTTTGTCTAGATCAGTGTTTCCCAACCGTTTTTTGGCCCACCTCGACGCATCGGTGATCTCGATGCACCCTTCCCAGCATAATAATAGAGCAAGTTCCGAAGTATAATTTCTCCCGGAAATGCCAAATTTCGGGTTACTGTGCATTTTCTTGTGTTGGTTCCATGTCTGGGTAATTTATTGCTATGTTGAAGATAAGGGTCGACGGAGTCGGTGAAGAGCGCGATGCGGCACGCGATGCGAATTCCCGAGAGATAATACGAAATGGTCTGTTTGAGTGTGAGTCAGGCGAGAAAAATCGCGGAGCTACAAGGTACGGTAATTTCTCCCTAATTCGAGCTCAGATTGAGCACAAAAATGGACAATTTAGGAAGAGAAGATACGATTATAATATTGCGTCTCGTTTTAATAGCTGTTGACAATCGGTAACTATAAAAATGAGCAAGGCTCGAATAATCGTATCTCCTCTTCTCAAATTTTCTATTTTTGTGCGCAATCTGAGCGCTAATTAGGAAGAAATTACTGTACGTGTATAGGTATTAAATACGTGACCGTCGAATCGTGGCATGTGGCCTCCGAATTGCCTTCGAATTGTGTTATATGACCTCTGAATTGCTTTAGAATCGTGTAATATGGCCTCCGAATTGCCTTCGAATCGTGTTATATGGCCTCCGAATTGCCTTCGAATCGTATCATGTGTCCTCCGAATTGCCTTCGAATCGTGTCACGTGTCCTCCGAATTGCCTTCGAATCGTGTCATATGTTCTCCGAATTGCCTTCGAATCGTGTCACGTAGTCTCCAAAGTTCCTTCGAATCGTGTCACGTGGTCTCCGAATTGCCTTCGAATCGTGTCAACATGGTCTGCGAATTGCCTTTGAATCGTGTCATGCGTCCACTGAATTGCCTTCGAATCGTGTCATATAGCCTCCGAATTGCCTTCGAATTGTGGCAAAAAATTAGCATTACTATGTGTTCACATTAACATGTACACCTGTATTGCCGACTGGAATCGCGGCTTAGTATTCTCAGATCTGTCGATTTCACTCCCGACCTTCGAACATTTCTGGGTGAAATTACTGCAGTTTGACTATGGCGTCGACGACCTCGAAAATTTCGTACGATTAATGTATTTCATTTAATCGAATTCAATTTGTAAAGTTGTCCCTAAAAGTATCCAAGATTGCCTAAGATATTCTACGTTGAGAAACACTGGTCTAGATAGTTGTGCAAGTTGGGACGTTTTAAAGGAACGCTCGAATGTCCTGACTGCATTTGGAGGTAGAATTAAACGCATCGATTCTGCTTTCAATTTCGCTCTGTCTTCATCATTCCACTTGTACAAATTCACGGACATCCCTAGACCGCTTATAGCACGACGCGTCGAATAAAGTTTCTACTCGACTTCGAGTTAACCCGTCCTGTCTATACAGGGTGTCCCAGGTTTTAATGTTCAAACTTTGTCAGTATATTCTATGGCACAGAGAAAGAAAAAAAAGTTATGTAAACATAGGGCATATAGAGCTTTATTAAGAAGTTATAACAAACATTCAGAATAGGAAGAGTAATCAACTAAAAAAAAAAATAAAAAATAAAAAAAGATCTTCCATCGATGTCAATCATGTATTGTCAACAACGGTTATTAATACATTTCGAAATGTATTAATAAACACACGGCATGTGCTGATCTATTCAAGCCAATGCTCGCAGTAATAGCAAGTTGATTACTATTCCTATTCTGAATTTTTGTTATAACTTCTTAATAAATCTCTGTATGACCTATGTTTACATAACATTTTTTTCTTACTTTGTGCCATAGAATGCACTAACAAAGTTTGAACATTAAAACCTGGGACAACCTGTATAAAAGCAACAAAGATCCCTAGTCCAGGTTATTACAGTAGAATATCAGAAATATACATTGCAAGTTTATATTCCGTAATAAGGATCTTATGTATTATGGATCTTATCGAGGTAGAATCGACCGAACTCGGTTTTCCAGGACAAAGAACAATTTTCCCTTAAAGATTCAAGCAAAACCGATGCATTTTCCTCTATCGCTGAGAGCAGGCGAATTATTCAGGCGTTCATGGATTATGATAATTCTCGTCCCGCGTTTAAATCTTCTACGGAAAACGGATAGATCAAACGTAAAACTCCTGTGAGAGGGAAGATTTATGAGATGGAAAACATTGAAATAAGGAGTATCAATGGACGATAAAAATATATCGACGTCTTTTTTTTTTATCAATGTATCATTATTTCCGAAGCTTTTATTCATATAATCGCGCCAATTGGCATCTTGAAACTAGTCTTTTGGAAATATCCTAATTTTTACATATCACTTTTATGAGATGGGAAACATTGAAACAAGGAGCATCAATGGACGATAAAAATATATTGATGTCTTTTTTTTATCAATGTCTTATTATTTTCGAAGCTTTTATTCATATAATCGCGCCAGTTGCCATCTTGAAACTAGTCTTTTGGAAATATCCTAATTTTTACATATCACTTTTATGAGATGAAAAACATTGAAATAAGGAGCTTCAATGAATGATAAAAATATATTAAGGTCTTTTTTCTATCAATGTCTCATTAATTCCGAAGCTTTTATTCATATAATCGCGCCAATTGCCATCTTGAAACTAGTCTTTTGGAAATATCCTAATTTTTACATATCACTTTTATGAGATGAAAAACATTGAAATAAGGAGCTTCAATGAATGATAAAAATATATTAAGGTCTTTTTTCTATCAATGTCTCATTAATTCCGAAGCTTTTATTCATATAATCGCGCCAATTGGCATCTTGAAACTAGTCTTTTGGAAATATCCTAACTTTTACATATCACTTTTATAAGACGGAAAACATTGAAATAAAGAGTATCAATGTGGATAAAAATATATCAACGTCTTTTTACTATAAATGTCTCATTAATTCCGAAGCTTTTATTCATATAATCGCGCCAATTGGCATCTTGAAACTAGTCTTTTGGAAATATCCTAATTTTTACATATCACTTTTATAAGACGGAAAACATTGAAATAAAGAGTATCAATGTGGATAAAAATATATCAACGTCTTTTTACTATAAATGTCTCATTAATTCCGAAGCTTTTATTCATATAATCGCGCCAATTGGCATCTTGAAGCTAGTCTTTTGGAAATATCCTAATTTTTTACATATCACTTTTATAAGACGGAAAACATTGAAATAAAGAGTATCAATGTGGATAAAAATATATCAACGTCTTTTTACTATAAATGTCTCATTAATTCCGAAGCTTTTATTCATATAATCGCGCCAATTGGCATCTTGAAACTAGTCTTTTGGAAATATCCTAATTTTTTACATATCACTTTTCGAAACAGATCTTTCGTTTAACAATCCCTCCTCCCTCCGTAGAAGATTTACCGCGAATTCTGTTAGATTTAGCGAAAGAATGGACGCTCTCGCGGTGCGTAACACTTGTCCCTTGGCTATCAGAGCGACGAAATTGATATCGGTCCTCGTCCAAAAGCATCCCCCTCCCCCCCGCCCCCACTCCCAAAA